TCATAATTTGCATGTGTTTTTAAGCATTGTGGTTTAAAAACAAGTCATTTAAGCCATTGAAATGCAAATAACAGCACTATATGCGAGAGCTGTCTGTTTCTGAGCGTGATTTCTGCAATTGTATCGGATCGAGGTCGGGTCATATTCACACCTTAAACGAACCGTACCAGAGTTCGTTTGGAAGCGGACCGAGACCACCTCTTCAGCTGGGTCTCGGTACGGTTGTTGGGTCTGCACCAGAGTGCGATTGCTGTATTCACACCTGCCAAAAAGGTCCGCACCAAGAGGGGTAACAAACTTGAGTTCGATTCAATCGAACCAAACAAGACAGGTGTGAATATACCCTAATAGACCTACCAATCTCTGTGTAAAAGTAAAATTATGATGCTGCCATATTTCTGAAGTCATTTTTACCCCCCTGCAATTTGGCTCTGAATCTTGGGTGAAAATTGCCATTTTGACCCTCCTCTTCAAAAAAGCGCATTACTCAGTAAATATTCATCCATGACCATGACATTTAATATTTTGGCTTTCATCACTAAACATGTTTATCTTTCTTCAGAAAAAAATATTAGCAAAATCAAAAATTTGAGCCGGGGATCTCTGGTTGAGTTGACACTAATCAATTTAATATAAACGTGCGACTAGTTGACTAGAAAAATCCTTAGTCTGGGGCAGGCCTACTTGGCACAAGGAACCGATCAATTATTAAAATAAAATCCTATGACATTACAAAATGTGCGACTGCAAATCACGTCACGTTGTATTACATTGCACAAGTTATGCATGTGTAATGAGTCAAATTTTTATTTTATTTCATCTTTTTTATGTATGGGGGTGCTTTGGTCTTTCTTGGGGTTGCTGGAGCACCTGCTAGCTCATTCCTAGCGCCGCTCATGAGCATCAATATATCAAGGCAGGCATGTTTGTAACCCTCTTATTTCATCGATAGCGCTGGTGCAGCCACCACTCATAATGTCAGCTTACTCACGATTCAGTTTGTATCACGGTTGTAGTCACGGTTTCGGAACGGTTGGGTATATGCTATGTTTAGGGAAAAAACTATACTGTCAAATAAAAGTAAAGAAAGTAAGAACAAATAATCTAATTACAAGAAACACAATACATACATACACTACAAGCACAAATAATTACAACAGAGCAAAAGTACAAATAAAATAAACAGTGCTTTTTTTTTTTAGGTTTTTAGGTAGGTCTAACATTAGTTTTTAGGTACAGAAAATGAATAAAGTAAAATAACATTGCATATTTGACAGTATAAATTAAAGATTAATCTCTTTTTTTTTTTAAGATATAAAAGCTATTCAGTCAAAAGCAGTGAGTGGTTTCCTTGTTTTTGTTGTTTGATTAACATTCAAATAAGTGCTGTCAATGCACAGATCCAGTACACTGATACTGTACTTTCAACTATGTCTGCTAGGATACTTATCAAGATGGGTATTTTGACATAATTTTTGTGAATTTGTCCATTCAAGCACAAGACTTGAAATCGAACTCAATATTTGTGCAAGTTCTGAGACGCGAGTTTGTTCGCTATGGATGAGCGTGCACAAATCTTCTCCCTGTGTGCGCGTGCAAGTTCTCATTCATGTCTTCTGGCTCTTGAATGTTTAAACTGGCAAGGCTTAAATGAGTTTAGTTTAAACAGATGGCAACATGTGCTGTTCAGGTCTCACCTGCGTGCACGCTATCAACCCTTGGGTGATGACAGCATAAATGACAGGTCATATTTGAGCATGTGGCACTCACACTGAACAGAGTGTGACTGGTTTGTCCATGTGTTTTTTTTTTTTTCATTGCGGTTGTTGTAATGTATTGGGAAGCCAGAATGCTCATACCCATCAACAGAAACATACATTAGCCAAACTCTGTCTGTTTTACATGGTTTGTTTTGTTTTTGTGTGTAAAATGTGTGTGTTGCATAGTGTGTTTGTGATTTTTGTGGCAAAGCCATGAAGGGAGGGCTGTGTTTGTTTTGGGTAAGGGTGTTTTTGTTTGAATGTTGATTTCATTTATCAGCAGTTTCTCAGATATGGCTAACTTCACCTTTTAAGGGAACAAAATCCATATCAATTAAGCTTATTGAACAAAACACAGTTGTTCCACTTACGATAAAACTAGAAACTAGACCTTTTTTCAGACAGTAATATCCTCAAAGTCATGTTCATTCTAACTATATTGTTCTTGTTGTCTAATGTATTGAAATGTTCATAAAAAAATATCTGTCCAGATTGTCATTTATGGGGACATACCAAAGAAGGAGAATGTGGTTTACCTGTCAAACCATCAATCCACAAGTAAGTCTCAATGCTCTTATCTATAAATGTTACAAACTAGTTGATGCATACCATGGGAAAACTTTTTTTTTATATGTATTTTTATTTGTTGGTAAATAATATGGTACCACACCATATATCTCAGTATCATGGTATCTGACACCATTACTGTACCATTTGTAAGGGTTGTGTTCTCCATTGTAGCTGATTGGATCATTGCTGACATGTTAGCCATTCGACAAAATGCACTTGGACACGTAAGATACGTTCTGAAAGATGGTCTGAAGTGGCTTCCTTTGTATGGATGGTATTTCTCACAGGTAGTGTATGCATCTAATTCAAAACCTTTAGACCTCATTTATGTTCTTGGTTTTTGAATGGTTTTATATACAGTTTACACAAGTTTATTCTGCTTGTGTTCCATGAATAGGACCGGTTGTATGTTTGTGGTTTGACTATGATTGATGTCCTTCACAGCATGGAGGTGTGTATGTGAAGAGAAGTGCCAACTTTGATGAGAAAGCCATGAAAAAGAAATTATCTTCTCAGACCAAACGGGGTACACCTGTGAGTATATATCCATAGCACTCACTGAATGAAAATCCAGAACCTGTGTTGTGCTGGACTAATAAAACGGCAGATGTTCCATACAAGTTAAAGGGTTAGTTCACCCAAAAATTGTGTCATTAATTACTCACCCTCATGTCGTTCCAAACCCGTAAGACCTTCATTCATATTCGGAACACAAATTAAGATATTTTTGATGGAATCTGAGAGCTGTCTGACCCTGCATAGACAGCAATACAACTGAAATGTTCCCAAGTCCAGAAACGTAGCAAGGAGATGGGTAAAATAATCTGTGTGACATCAGGGGTTCAACCGTCATTTTACGAAGCTACGAGAATAATTTTTGTGCACAAAAGAAAAAAAAATAACGACTTTATTCAACAATTCAAAAATGGTGCTATTTTGGAGAGTAGCCGCTGGACGTAAACAGCGTATGCTGTTCTGTCAGCTGCGTCACATGGATACACTGTTTTCGTTCAGATCAAATCACAACAACATAGAAAACAGATCCGGCGTGACGCAGCTGACACAGAACAGCATTCGCTGTTTACGTCCAGCTTATACTCTCCAAAATGGCACCAGGGTGATGCGGAGGAGACGAATTGTTGAATAAAGTCGTTATTTTTTTTCTTTTGCGCACAAAAATGATTCTCGTAGCTTCGTAAAATTACGGTTGAACCCCTGATGTCACACGGATTATTTTACCGATCTCCTTGCTACGTCTCTGGACTTGGGAACATTTCAGTTGTATTGCTGAAATGCTGAAATTGCATATTGCAGTATTGTACATTTTAGCATTTCAAAATGTTGTGCAGCCCTAAGCCCTATTCAGAGGGGATTAGTTTTCCAGGGAGTCATTAGAGAAATTGTGTTTTACAGACGTACTTTGCGATTTTAATCCCGTCTGAATCTGCCAAGTCTGTTTTTCCTCACACAACCTCTGTAATAATCCCAGAGCAAATTACCTACTGTTTTTTTGGCAAATTTAGTGATCATCTGAGAAATCAAATGCGAATGTCTGTGATTGCCCCCAGTTTTTTTTTTCACAACGCGTTTTGGCCACTGTGAACTAGATGCTCTTACTACTCTGTGCATTTTCGCTGTGTTTGCCTCCCGGCAAAGAAAAGAAATAAAATAAAATCAAGAGCCAAATCACGTTAACTGTTAAAGGAGTCATCGGATGCAAAATTCACTTTTACATGTTGTTTGAACTGAAATGTGTCTTGTCAGTGTGCACAACCACCCTATAATGATAAAAATCCACCCAGTGTTTTTTTTAAATCCCCAGAAGTTATAACCCCTTTCTCAGATCAAGCCATTCTCAGATTCTTGGCTGTGTGATGTCACACAGACCCAGGCCCCTCCCATGATTGTTGATTGACACTGGCGCCCTGAGTGAGCTGTCAACAGTCGGCCATTGTTTCGAGAGGTAGACAAGAATTTCTCCTAAGCGATTGAGGTGTTTTGTTGTTGGATGTTATAATGAACATAGCAGTCGTCATTTACTCCTGAGGTGTTTTGTTGTTGGATGTTATAATGAACATAGCAGTCGTCATTTACTCCTGAGGTGTTTTGTTGTTGGATGTTATAATGAACATAGCAGTCGCCATTTACTCCTGAGGTGTTTTGTTGTTGGATGTTATAATGAACATAGCAGTCATCATTTACTCCTGACATCTGAGCCGCTGAAGACGCAGTGGATTACTTTTGTATTTGAAGGGAATGCACCCCGATCTACCTAAATGCGTTAATGTTCGCACAAATCTTTTGTGATCCAGCTTCACCTACAGAAGAAGTGAGTATAAGTTTTTTTATGAATCTTTGCAAATTGCCTTTCCTAATAATGTGCTAGTTATCAAGTTCCACGGCTAAAGTTTGCAGTCTCATGAGAACTGCTGGTCACCCCATGGAGGGAGAGGGGCGGGGTGAGCAGAGCTCATTAGCATTTAAAGGGACATGCACCAAAATGGGTCGCTGTGAACAGAGCTGTTTTTGACCAGGTAAAAAGGGTGTTGTTTTACACTACCATTGTGAAATTTTAACCAAAGTATGGTATGGACTTTTCATATCAACTTGTGGAAAATGGGCATCCGATGACCCCTTAAAAACTAGCTACTGTAATATCAGCATCAGGTTAGATTACTCGCCTTCATGTCTGCACTCAATTACATAATGTTTTAATTAAATATGTACGTTTATGAACATTAAACGTGGTTTTACTACAAATAAAAAAACATTTTTTTTATAGTTGAATTAAGTTAACTACAAATTAACCATGGTTTTGCTATACAAAACATAGCTTAACCATGGTATTTGTAGTAAAACTGTGGTTATTCTAATGGTAATCAATCCGCATGACTATACGCAATACACGCATACAGAGCATGTGATCTCTTTAATGCCCAGATGTCCAAAGTAGTAGTAAACACGGAGATGTTAGTCCTGTCCGAATCGATATGTGGAATCACAGACGTAGGGTGATAAGAACTGTAACTCAAACATTTAGAAAATTAGTCCTGTCCACATAGGGCTCTAGTCTCAATCAGTCAGAATTGTAGAAATTCAGTGTCTTGGTATAATGTTGACCAAGTTGGGTGAGAATAACATAAACCCCTGGAGGAGTATTTAAAAATTCAGAGCCAGCAATATATATAAATCTAATGCAAACACTACTGTGCAAACGTCTTAGGCCATTAATATTTTCAGGGTACCTGCGGGTCCTTAAAATGTCTTAAATTTAGTTGTATCAAATTTAAAGCCATAAAAAGTCTTAAATTGTACAAGAAAGTCGTAATTATGATTTCAAGAGGTCTTAAATTTGGGGACGGAAAGACCAGAATTGCAATATGGCTTAATGTGACGATTAAACTTCAAAAGGCTGTGATTACATTAAAGGTTCACTGAAGAGCTTTGAAACATGCAGCGTTATTCTATGTGATGACGTAATTTCAACTGAAACAGGAAGACAGGGTGGGACATATCAAGCAGCCCCACCCCCTTTTTTAAATAGCCAGTAGTGTTTAGTTTATATCACAGCTTGAGCTAGAGAGGCCTGCATTCCCGTGGCTCTCCCGGGGGAACCGCGGGACCCAACCAGATTTTTAAAATTAAATTCCCGAATAAAACGCGGTGGCGGTCGGTAACTGGTGTAATTTGAACAGGAGTGGGCGGTCTAACAATATCCCGTTCCCGACGTCCATTCAGAACAGCATATCTACGCTTTATTCTTATTGACCAGTCAATAATTACGTCGTAATTACATCATCACATAGAATAACGCTGCATGTTTCAAAGCTCTTCAGTGGACCTTTAATGTAATGCACTCGAACTGTTATGCACACATGCATTCTGCGTCAAGCGTTTTATTTGCGGAGTCTGTGTGCAGCATGTGCATAACGGTCCTCAGAGCAGGCTGTACCGGTGGTAAATATACGGCCCTCAGACAGAACAGGCAGGTTGTCGATGAGTGACGGAGCAGAATAAGGATGGAGCAAAGTGTGGATGCGCTGTCCTTGAACCGTTCATCTCGGTTTTGTTTATATTTTGCTTAGTCTATCATTTTAAATGACAGATGTCATATTTATTTATTTTTCTCTGCGACACTTTTCCTACTGTGTTTACAGAAAAATGTCAAACGAATTTAGTATTTTGACAAGACGAATAAAAATAGCTAATAGGCTATTTTTGTACAACCTACTTTTTTTTCTCTCTCTCTGCTACACTTTTTCCTATATTGTGTTGTAAATGTTAAACGAATTGTATCCTGACAAGACGAATAAAAATAAGAAATACATTTTTATTTTCTCTTTTTTTTTCTACCGTGTTGCATTAAACTAATTTTGTGTCATAAGATAATTCATATAAATTCAAGTCAAAGTCAATAAATTCAAGACTCTTGACAAGACGAATAAAGTAACACAATTTTGTGCAGACTACACTTTTATTTGTTAGCCTATCTCTCTTTCAGTAGCGTAAATGTAAATGTGAGATTCTGGAAATGAGATCTAAATTTAGCTGGAAAGGGCGGGTCAGGAAGAAAATGATTCTAAGCGGACAGCGGGTGAACAAAGAGTGAATACATAGCGGGAGCGGGACTAAAAAAATAGTCCCGCGCAGACCTCTACTCGGTATCTCTTCTACTCATCAGTGCTGTTTGTCTAAACCACTTCTCCTCCTAATCTCATCCATATCACAAAAAAATATAGCATTCTGTGTAGAATTCAAATGGGTCTGATAAGTTTTATGGGCTGCGCCGACTCGCGCATATGATCTGCTCCGTGCTATTGTGTCTCTTCAACGGAGCAGACTATATGCGCTGCAATGGTTTGCGTGACACAACGCGAAATCAGACAACTTTATCCCCAATGGTAACTATACTGTCTGAATAGTTCCCAAGCTCCTATATAGTAGGGGTGGAACGGTTCAACTTACTCACAGTTCGGTTTGTATCACGGTTTTAGAGTCATGGTTTCGGTACGGTTCGGTATGTGCTATGTTTAGGGAAAAATTATACTGTCAAATAAAAAAAAAGAAAATAAGAATAATCTAACTACAAGCAACAGCACAGATAAATACAATAAAGTAAAGATACAAATAAAATAAACAGTGATTTTCAGGGTTTTTTAGGTAGGCTATCTCGATTCTCAGATATGTGTAAATACTTGAAAAAATTTCCACCTTTATAAATTATGTTGATCTATAATGGGCGATGGTCAAAATAGCCTAATAATGTAATCTATTAACTATGCATAAAAACTATTTACTTAAAGGCACAATATGTAAGATTTTTTTATTAAAATATCCAAAATCCACTAAAACAGTGTTATATATTTTGCAGACTTGTGTACTTACATTATCCCAAATGTTTCGAATAAATCATTAGCTCATCCATGAACATGATTTCTGCCCGAGTGTGTGGATAAAGACGACAACTCCCATGATTCCACACTCAGTCACTGCGTCATCAAACTACGCCTTTGTCTGTTTATTTTGAATACGTG